ATGTAGCCGGTGATGCTGAAGGCTGCCAGCCGTGTCCTGGAAAGCCCCCAACATCGCCACACTTCTTCAGGGGTAACCACGGGGTGTAGAGCTTAGGGGGGCGTTGCAGCCTAGTTGCTGAGTACCGTACATAGGCCAGAAAAGGTTACCCTTTCAATTAGGGTAGGAGTATATAATACCTATTCCAAAAGGTTAAGGCTAAGGCTAGGGGTAACCTACTCAGCAACTAAGACTAAGACAATCTTCGACGGAGTCCTGGCCTAGATCGACAGTCAAGCCCGACTCATGATGCCGAACCGCGGGACTCACGTGTTTGAAAACCAGCCAAGCGGAGCAATGCCCAAAAGCCAGCACAGGACATTTTTTGAACCGGGAACCTGCTTTCAGAAACCTAAACGCCTGACCTGTAATATTAAACCCTAAACACCTGACCTGCAACCGGAACTTCACTCTTCACCCTAACCATGAGACCGAGAGTCACGTCCAGGACCAGGCCGAAAAGGCCTCCTCAGGGTTGATATTGGCTTGGCTTTGATTTAAGTGGCTGCAGCGGTTTGCGGGATTGATCTTGGGCCAATCTTGGGAGGTTCCCCCTTATACTAGCAGTCCTTAATAGGGATTATGATAGAGGGTACCATAAGCGCACTCTGAGCGTTAACGTGCCAAAGGGTTATAGTTTTTCAGGGGTGCGGGCAAAGGATGCACCCACGAGGATCAGCAGCTATCACTGCTTGGTCATTTGATGCTTTCAACTTCACCCTGGCTATTGACACGAACCCGAATCCCTAAGCCCTAAACCCTGGACTACGGTGATTGTCGAAGCAAAGCCCCACCTGTGGACTTCAGATGCTTGGTCTTCTTCGACGGTTGCCTTGGCTTGTGCATTGAGGGGGTGCTGAGGAACAAGGGGTGGACTCACGTCATGAACAGTCAGCAGAGCCCGGTCTTTCCAGAGGCCTGAAGCCCGAATCACGACATTGCATGTTGCATAATAAACTATATGCGATGATGCTTCCAGTTCGCATTGTTGCTAAACCCTAAACCCTAAACCCTAAACCCTAAACCCTAAACCCTAAACCCTAAACCCTAAACCCTAAACCCTAAGCCCTAAGCCCTAAACCCTAAACCCTAAACCCTAAACCCTAAACCCCAGCCCAAGCCAGGTGGCTCAGGTTCAGCGCGGGGGCTCTGGTGGCTCTCCAGCTTGACGGCAGGAAGCTCCTGGAGGTTGCACTACAGTAGCAACCCCCCCGGGGTTTAGGGTTTAGGGTTTAGGGTTGAGGGTTTAGAAACACAGGAAGGACGACATGTGACGGCAGGAAGCTCCTGAAAGTTGCACTACAGCAGCAACCCCCCGGGGTTTAGGGTTTAGAAACATAGGAAGGACGACATGTTTGTTGGGCCCAAAGAAGGGTTAAGGGAACACAAAGGGCCGCAAGTGGCTCAGAAATGCTCAGCCTCTCTCTCCTTTTTAAGTGCCAAACCCCGCAAGACAACCATGGGGAGGCCAACCATGGCAGCGTTAAGTCCTGAACCCATATCATGGGTTCCCCTACTAACCCCCCTCCATACTACCCCCCCCCCCCCGGTTCCCCCTTAAATAGCCTTAATTGAGCTATTTCTCCCTAAATAGCCTAAACTATGGGGGGAACCTGGGGGGGGGTTCGTAGAGAGGGGGGTAGTAGGGGAACCCGTGACTATACATACATGTTGCAAGACATCGCTTCTCGAGCAAAGCCGAAGTAAACCTTACTCCTGGCCACGTGACGCCACCGCAAGCTACGTTCCCCCACAACAAGCCTATAACCCAAAAACCCTGAACCGCAGCTCAAACCCCAAGTTATCCTTTTTGGGGTGTTTTAACGTTAAGAAACCCCTGAACCGCAGCTCAAACCCCAACGTTAAATCCCAAATCACACCCCTTTATCCTGGATGGGCTCTGAAAGTCTCGGGCGCTTCAATGCCCCAGGATCCATGCACTGCCTGGACCATTGGGGTTTTGGGGAGTTTAGTTTAGGGGTTTAGGGGTTTAGGGGTTAAGGGGTTAAGGGGTTAAGGGGTTAAGGGGTTAAGGGGTTAAGGGGTTAAGGGGTTAAGGGGTTAAGGGGTTAAGGGGTTAAGGGGTTAAGGGGTTTAGGGTGCCTTTCCAGGAGTCAAGTCTGGTGCGGGTTCCGATGGTTCATGAGACAGACTTCTGGGGCTCGAGCTTCCAACCTGTCCGTTAACGTGGAGTCTGATGCCGGAACCCAGCCTTTTCCCCAAAACCCTCACCGAAACCGTGAACACATGAGACCAGGTGCGTCTTCTGATTCTCATTGCTGGCGTGAAGGCATAAGCGGCAGAAGTGGCGCTTCACAGGCAAGTTCCTCATGGCAGAAGAAAACCATCTAAGTTTGAACTGGCACTGGCACTGCCCAGGTGCTGGGCAGATTAGAATCTAGGCTGAAGGTCGGCTGAAGGTCACCTGCCTAGCCACATGATCGAACCGAAGCCAACAAAAATGGTCCAACAACATGTTCCAGCAAAGCAGGCAAGATAGATATGGATGGATGGATGGATAGATGGATGGACAGATAGAGAGAGAGAGATACACACATAGATAAGAGCAACTATAAACTCAGTACATCCATATATATATACATATACCCGTGCACGCAGTGCGTGGACGCGCATTGGGTTTGCAAAGGTGGAAATGAATTGCCAGCCGACACCTTACAAACATGACAAGGCAGCGTCGCAGTGCAACGACCATGCGTCCCAGAAGCCCTAATCGAAACCAAGAAAACATGTCCTCTCCCCTCAGCCCCTCCCTAAACATGACACTTGTCGACCCAAAACGTCAACCATGTTCTACGAAATGCGCTTTTGAAGCTGGGTTAAACCGATGAAAGCTACCATAACTGCTCCCATCCCATCCATCCTCGGGCAATCCATGTCGATCTCTTGCTTGACCTTGGAGAAGCAAAATGCTTGAGAAGGCTCAAAACCTCCACACGGGCCTGCGCATCTATCGTTGCTTAAAACCTCACTTCTGGACTTAGCAAGGCCCAGTCGGTGAAGCCATGGCTTTTTAGACAGGACCCTAGAAGGGACCCGAACAACCCAAAAACACAAAAACCCTAAAAGTTTAGGGTTTAGGGTTTAGGGTTTAGGGTTTAAACCCTAAAACCCCAAAAGCCTAAACCCTACATCTCATCACCCTGTTTCATCGCTATCTACCTGCACCTAATTTGGTCCCTTGAACGGTTCATGATGCGACTGGTGCCATCCTTGGAGCTCCCACTGAACTGGAAGGTTTAGGGTTTTAGGGTTTAGGGTTTAGGGTTTAAGCCCCAAGACCTACCCCTGTGCAACCCTGGTCGTGAGACTTGATTTGGCTTTTCGGCAGCAGGGTGTGCCACTTATGGCGGTGCATGTGCATTCAAGGGTCGTGCAGGTTACTCGTCACCATCAAGAATCCGAAATTCACCTCCTTTTCACAACCTCTGTTTGGTAAGCCACAAGTTCTGTGCCAAGGTCATCCAAGGCTGGCGCCAAAGGCAATGGCACAGACATTGACATGGCGGCTGCGACCTTGTCTCCAACCGGACTTGGAGAGAAGCGTCTCAGGGTTTAGAGGTTAGGGATTAGGGTTTAGGGTTTGGGGTTTGGGGTTCGGACATGCAGGGGGCTTTCGGATGCTAACGAATCATGCCGGTACGGGTTGCATGGACTGCAGTTAAGGCCGAAGAGTATACCTCGCCAATAGCGAGTCGAAGACGAAATGCCCGAATCGAATGATTCCATGCAGGAGCCGCCAGCCGAGAACCACTTTTTGCAGGCACCCGCCGACTGCCGCAAAGACCCATATGTTCAAGTGCCCTGTGCAAGAAAAATACCCAGCCTGCGGAAGAGCTTGCATCGTAAATGTTTTGCCCCTGTGAACATATATATATATATTCTTATTAGCATTATTATTATTATTTTATTATTATGATTATTAATATTATTATCATATAGTCAGGAGAAATATGAAAATGGAGGCCTGAAGGGTCAAACGTTCGAAAACGTAGCAAATTCTCGACGAAGGTCGCCGAAGCATTTTGGGGTTTGATAGGGTTCGAAAACATTTCGATTGAAGAACATGTGATGAAAGCTCGATGAGAAAACCTATGCTTTTGTAGTTCATGTGAAAAGCCAACACACACACAGACAGAGGCACAGACACAGAGACAGAGACACAGAGAGACAGACACAGACAGAGAGACAGAGAGACAGAGAGACAGAGAGACAGACAGACAGACAGACAGACAGACAGACAGACAGACAGACAGACAGACAGACAGACAGACAGACACAGAGACACAACCGCCGGACCGCCTTAGGCATGGACCACGCAGGCATGCAAAACTTATACAATTTTTCTGGCTTACCTTCTGACATCATGCGCGCATTTGTTAGACGTATCTGTCGATGTTTGAAAAGATCGCAATATGCAGCTGAGGTGCAGAGGGCGCCCCCGGCGGGAGAAACGAATCGACACGGGGTTGGATCCAAAATGGCTGCGCGACGTCTATTGGCCCCTTCAGTGCAGAAGGATGTGCTTCTCTATCGTGAATCATGGTCACCCTAGAACGAGAACCACAGCACGACGCTCGGTACTATGCATGATTCAGGTGGCCGACATCGCCTAGCCCAAGCGGCTGCCTTATCTCCGTCCAAACTCCTCAAACCCTCACATCGCACATGCTTCTCAACACTCATGCACACCGGCAGGTGCACGAAACAGCTTTAAGACGTGGGATGCAAGGCATGAGGGCATGTAAGGTAAGGGCTTAGGGTTTAGGGATTTTCTTTGCGCCACCCGTCTAGCCATGCTCCACGGGGCAACTGAAGAGGGATACTTATCTGAGTCCGAAACCCCTAAACCCTCAATCCTAAACGGCTTAGGATTCAGGGGTTGAGGAGTTTCGGGCTCAGAGGTTAGGGCGGTCGTCCAAGATTCTTCACTTCCAACGCGCCTCTGAGCTGCCATCCGTCGTGCTCGGATCCTCCTTTGGGGGCATTTTGAAGCCCATAATTCATCCTTCATCCCTCCAGCCGTATGGCCTCTGGGTATCTTCGAAAGCAGGGCTATGCTCAGCAAGGGGTCTGCCCCCCTACACTCACCAAAAAAAAACACCCACCAAACATCAAGGTCTTTGTCCTCCAGGTTCGGGCAACCAGAACAATGATCCGGCAGCAGAGAAGCCATGCAGCGATAAAAAATATGTGTGTATGTATATATATATACTCTGTAAAATACGCTGTTCCAGAAGCTTTCGTAACTTTACAAGCCCCCCGTGCACACCGAACCCTGAACAACTCCGAAGCTCGAAGCCGGCAAGTCCTTGCCAGCACCGACGCACTTCGATGGATTCCTGGCTGGATATTTCTGTGGAGGCACAGGGCTGGAGCTATCATTCCCCCCTTCAGGACTAAGTACCTTCAAACATCCTGAACACTCGTCCCCTTTCCCCATTTGCATTCTAGTATGCTTGCTTCGTAAGGTCGGCCTTAACATCCCGAATCACCTCCCCCAAACCTAAACATGAACGTAGGCCACAGCATTCCCGCACAGGCATCCAGGCAACAAGGAACAAAGCTTTGCGCCGCTCACACTGGCAGGCTTCAATGTCTGACACGACAAGGGGGGGCCACTTTGGCTTCAACTGGATCAAGCATCTGTGCCACCACTCGAAATCCACAGTGTGGAGAACGACTATGAATCAACAGGTAAGTCCAGCCGCAGGCAATCAGTGCAGGTTTCGAGCCAGATCCGACCGAAACTTGACAAGCGGATCCTGAAAGGTGCCCAGAAAGCACTACGCTAGGAGTGAGCAGGATGACAGCTTTTGGGGTCTAGGGCTGCGAGCTCAGGGTGTAAGGGGGTCTTCCGTCTTGCTGATAAACATGTCATTGCACAAGAAAACGAAGCCAGGAGCCTCGATTGCTGCTGCAGGAGCGAGGGTAGGTCACCAACGGCGGTTTCGGATGCGCCTCACTGAGAGCCCGGGCTAGCGGCTAGGGTGGAGGCTGCAAGTATATAACATCCATCTTAAATTAAACCCCTATCCTCGGCAGCCTGAGACTACGCCAACATGCAGAACCCCAAGCCATAAACCCTTTCGGCGACAGGCTTCAGCCTGCCTGGCCGCAACTCCCAAGCTCAGAATTCGTGACAGGTTGCTCGGCCAAAAAAACCGCAAACCAACCCTAAACCCGCAACCCTGAAACCCCAAACGCTTTCGTGGGCCCCACGTCGTGAGGCCCCCCCCTTATAATGAGCACCTGCTGTGAACCCAAGGCGGCGACACTTCCGTGGAGATCTGGGCCTAAGTGATTAGGGTCTTTCGGGTTTAGTGGCTTAGGGGCCTTTAGGGTTTAGGGTTTAGGGTTTAGGGTGTAGGGTTTAGGACTTAGGGTTGGTTTCGTTGGAGAGTGGATCGAAGCAGCCTAGGTTAACAGGGCTTGAAGGCGTCCTCCGCCCAGCTGTGGATTGCTACCTGGTGTCTCCTTGCCCGTGCTCAAGTTTAGGTCGGGTTTCGGGTGTGGGGCTTAGAGTTTAAGGTTTAGGCTTTCCGGGTCTAGGCACGATAGTACACTCTTGCAATTTGGGCTGGGGTTAAAGGGAGGGTCCCATAGCCGGAGATGCGACGCAACCATTCCAACTTGCATGGTTTCGCGCAAAGTCGCTCACATGACCCCTTTCATTTTATTGGGAATGTGGACTTTTTTTTGAGGACCAAATGAACCCTAAAAATTGGTGTCATATACCCTATACTGTTATAATCCCTATTAAGGTATACAAACCATGAACCCTTTTAGGGCTCATTTGGTCTCCCCTAAGTCCCCAAATGAGGCAAAAAAGGACCTATATATCTGGGGTTACAAGTACCCATGCATCCCCAGGTGCTTCGTGTATGCGGCTACCTGCGCAAAGCTCGGCTTGATTTCTGAGGCTTTGCCTGCGTGCGTGACTCAACTCAGGTCATGGACATGCTTCAATGGACAGAGACGTCGCTCAGATTCATGAACCTGTCAATCATAGATGAGATCCTAAACCCGACGCCCTAACCCCCAGAATTGAACCCTAAACCCTAAACCCTAAACCCTAAACCCTAAACCCTAAACCCTCTACCCTGACATGCTCCATCTGCTCCGAAGTGACTCTGCTTTCTGTGCGCCCGGCGAGGACAGCGGAGTCCAGTTTGGCGGCGTCCAGATGTTAAACTCCTCGTCTAGGCTGCCCAGTAACCTACTCTTAAAAAGGGTGCCCTTTTCTTTCTTAAAGGGGTTGATAAGGGAACCTAAACCCCTCCAAAAAAGGGAATTAGGGGTACTGCTGGGCATCCTAGTCGTGGGGAGTTCTGTAGATGAAGGTCCCTTTTGCAGGGGGGGGGGGGCGCTTTTGCGTAATGTGCCGTACGATAGGGGCCCAAAAATGGAACCAAGTAATTTTCGAGAACTGCCCTCGTATCAGCCAGGGTCCAGGATTTAGAGTGTTCTGCAGCCTAAACCCGGAAGTGTTGCTGGATACTTCAGCATATGCTTTTGGGTCTTTCTTCTTTCGGCAGTCCTATACACCGCAGTTCAACGGCTGAACAGATTGCCTGCCTCAGAGCAATGTGTCGTACGGGTTTCGGTGTGCAGCCTGTGCAACTTCTGTCACCGAGGCGCGCCCGAATCGTCAACCCTAAACGCCTAACCCTTGGGAACATTGGTGGGAGACCTGTGTGTGGGACATGACTTGGAGGTTCATGGGTCCTTAGAACCCCCACTTGTAAGTTTTACTGACAACAACCTGCGGATGGGACTTAGGAACTTAGGAGGGTTTACAAGTGTACTATACTCCCCTTAGAACCTGAATAAACATCATATTTGCTATATATCCTCTTGGGTTTTATATAAACAAACAGGTGGAAATATAGTGTAGTTGAAAATGGGGTGAGAAGTACCCATGAACCTCCAGGGAGGGGCGGCATAGCCAACTCTGGGCACCTGAAACGCCCAGCCCTCACCCTTAGATCCGAACCTTCGAAAGCTTTGACCCTCCCTAACAAACCCTAAACCCTAAACCCTAAACCCTAAACCCTAAACCCTAAACCTGGAAGCTCTGCCTCGCATCCGCGCTTGAGCAGGATCAGGGTCGGAACCTCCTGCTTTTCTTTGAGGCCCTGGTTCCGCAGGGCCCTATGTATACCCTTTACTAGATTCTATAAGCCCTCATATATATACCCTTCGAGGGATTATATAGGGCCCCACATATATCCTTGAATAACGGATTATATAGGGCCCGAATTCCCTCCTTTCCCTACTAATCCCCTCCCCCTAATATTTAACCCCCCCCCCTACCCCCCTAGTATTAAATGCCCCCTTATAGTTACATTTTAGTATATTGGGGGTTTTTCATATTGGGGGCTGGGGGGGGGGGGGGTTCTTAAATTAGGGGGAGGGGATTAAGAACCAGGGGGCTGCGGTCGACTTAGGGCCCAGAATGCCCCAGGCTGCGGGGTTCCCGAAGATTCCACGACCGGAAGTTTCAGGTTCCAAACTGAGACATGAAGGTTCCCCCTAAACCCTAAACCCTAAACCTTAAACCCTCCTTGCTTGAGCTCGGAGGGCGCCCTCGCCCTCAGGTCTCCGGAGGAAGAGCTTCAAAGCGTTTGGAAGCGAAGGGCGAATGACTTTGGAAGAGCTGTGATTTGAGGTTTAGTCATGGAAGCAGGCAAACCCACGAAGAAAGTTGCATGTCTTTCGTCTTTGTTGTGCTGTGCAAAAGTTGCGTACGACTTGTACTTGTGTTGCGACATGTAAAAGGTTTCACACGGCTGCAGAATTGACATGATTCCCCTCTGCTCCAGCAAGCCCTAAACCCTAAACAGCCCGCGCGCCTGCTCGCTTGTGCTCTTGGCCATTCTTGGGCCGAGCTTCCGAAGACCATGTGGCACGGCCCCTGAGTTCCGAACAACTTGCCAGCCCTATACGGCAAACATCCCAAACACCTGTGTATCCATTTTGCTCCTGGGTTGAAGCTTGCATTGGCTTGCATGTGAAAAGAAGGCTCAGTGGGTGGGGTAGTCGAGTCGGGTACTTGGGGGGGGGGGGGGGGATGAGGGTTCATGGGGAGTGTGCCTACCACCTTTCAATGCCCTACTCTTGTGAGCCAGTCGTGGCAGAAGGCCGCGTGTGACACGCGCGAAAAAGCCAGAGAGTCGACCCTGAGCATTCAGTCCAATGCCCTGCAAGGGTCTATAGAAGCCTATTCCTGCTGCTGTTCCCAAAACCTCTACATCGTGCCGTGTCACGCGACCCAGCCCTGGCACCCCGAAACCTGGCATCCATCAACTTGGGTGGCCTCGTGTGGCTTCAGTTCATGGCCCTTGTCCTCGACGCTACCCCTCTACTGAACTTGAAACCCTGACAAAAAATGATGTTTTGCTGTTTCTTAGGAATGATAGTGCCCAAAATAAAAAATATTTTCCGAGTACCCCGAAGAACTCTTTTCACTGTCCACTATATCTGCAGCTGCGAGCGCGGCAACAAACCACTATTGGGCATGCGTGTGATAAACGAAAGGCGGATTCTCCTGCGCGCAACTTGCTCCTGGGCATCGCACAGTGTACCATCCGAGTGCTTTACCGCACAGGGCATCTGTGCAGGAGGACCGCGGGCATCAAAGCGATGTTCAGGCATCGTCAGGGACACCAGGCTGCTGTCAAAGCCCTCACCACGCAAACCTCACGAAAGCTGCTCTGAAGGTGAGGTGACCAGCAGCTTGAAATTCCGGAAAATCACGAACAAAAGACGATGCATCCGGGACGGCTGACGGGTATCTGACGTCAATGGGCTGTCAGAGCCTGCAGTGTGGCTATAACCCGAACACGTACACTGTTGGTCTGACACCAGGTCGTCGACCCTGAAAACCTGAACCGACATACTAGTATACTGCTGACCAAGCCAAGCTTCTGATTTCGGGACTGCGTGCCGTCAAGTGTCTGCTCATCTACGGGTTCTCCAAAGCCCTGAACCCTGTGAACCCTTAAGGCCCTAAACCGCCCAGCGGATGGGCTTTGCTTGGGCCAGGTCAGTTGCCTGACCTTTCCAACTTCAGCGTTTAGGCTTGAGAGTTTCATGTACGCTCTACACGTGTGCTAGTGTCGTATGGGCCTCAAAGTACTGAACATCAAGATTCAACCCTACCAGCGACGGTGGAGCAAGAATGCTTGGATCTCAGTATCTGCTCTTGATCTGCTGCATGGAGAAAATCTTGACACAAGAAACCTACGAAGACAACCCCAAACCCCAAACCCTTTGTAAACCCTCAACCCTAGAACGGCGCACACTCAAGCCTTCTGCATCTCCGATCTACCCTTTGCTCATGTGGAGAGTTCTCCATTAAGGAGTCTGCGTGCGAATCGGCATGGCGAAGTGTGAGCTCGACAAGTTTAGGGTTTAGGGTTCACACGGATGAGCCATTCTGTTCGGTTCTAGGCTTTAGGCTTTAGGGTTTAGGGTTTAGGGTTGTTGAAGTTCGCCAAGATGACTTGAGTCTAGCAGGGCTTGAGTTCGTGGCCTGACAGGGACACTCATCCACACGCACATATCGCCGGAGCATAAACTCGCGAGCGGGCTCCCGTATCATATGAATGGATAAAGTCAAGGATGGTTCTTGAAACTCTCTGAGAAATACAAAAATGTCCCAAGGGCCGAGCACAAGCTTCTATCTGCCTCATCGCGCACTCTCCGTGCCTGATACCCGCAAAGCACTCTCCCAGACTTGAGATGTGGAGCGATCTGGAAAGCTGTTCCTCAACACTACAGATGTTCACATAGAGAACTCATGTGGGATTGCCCTTCAACAAAATTGGAAACTGGAAGGGCCTAAGACGAAGAACTAGCAAGCATCGCTCTTAGCTAGCACTCTGGCGCAAGGCCCCCTAATCATCCGATTACGAATCGCATGTGGTCTTGTCGCCAATTTCTTGCGCCAAGTGCTGGAACTTCAATTTTCGCCAGGATTTACTTATCGGACGACACTTCAGATTCCGGTGAAGGAACAAACTGAGTAGACCTCCACAGCTCGTGCTGCATGTCCCAAACTGCTTTGCCTGGAGGGTCGAGGTGTCTGTCGGCAAGGTGTAACAGCACGAAGCCCTGAAAGCCACCGGCACTTGCTGCACAAAAAACATACGCTGTAGCCTCTGCCTCTGGCACTTGAACTGCATCTACTCTCTGGGTCTTCGTGTGCCCTGGACTCTTTTTTCCGAAACAAAAACAGAAGCGCCCGGCTGTACCTAAGACGATCCTTAGCCGCGCGAGGAGAAGCTAAACTAGAGGCGTCTGGCTTTGGAATCCCCGACCCTGCAGTGAGTGGAGCCCAACTGACAAATCCAACCAGGCCAATCTCGGGGTCGGAATAGTTGCTAATCGTATTCCCTTGTAGTCCCTTTGAAATTATAGTATTCCCTTGTGGTCGCTTGTTATTGTACTATAATCACCCCCCCCCCCCCCCCCCCCCCCTACTCTAATTATTGAGGCCCCGACATTAGGCCAGCAGAATTCGAGCTCACCCTGCTCAACTGCTCATCTAGGGTTTAGGTTTAGGGTTTAGGGTCTAGAAACAAGGTAACACTGTTGCAAGACTTACTTGTCCAGGGGGAATTAGGTGAACCTTTGGGAATATAAGGGGATTACCTTGCCCCAAAAAAGTTTAAGCTTTGGGAAGACAAGGGGGATTATCTTATACCCCAAAAAGGCTACTGGTTGCCTACTCTACTACTGGGAAGAAGTTTTTTTCCTTACCATATCGCAGACAGGCACATCAGGACCTGTGTATGTGGGGTGCGCCACGCCCTCGACCAGGCTGCCAGCGTTGACATCCACAACTTGTCGGGTATTTTGGTACCCCTAAACCCTAAACCCTAAACCCTAAACCCTAAACGAGTACAAGTTAGGACTCGAGCCCCAAGGCTACCCTGGGTCGGAGAGGCTTTGTGGCCTGGGGTTGTGGGTTGAAGGTTCGGGGGTGTTGAGTATGTTTCTTCAGCCCGGCACCTGACTTTACGCAGGGTTGAGCTTGGCCTATCGCTCTAGAAGCGAGTCTTTGAGGAGTTTGTTTGTAGAATCAGATAGAACCGGGGTTTCGGGTTTAGGGTTTAAGGTTTACCAGGGGAGCTTGAGCGTCCACTGCTAGGTGCGGATGTCGCACGAGCGCCTGCGCTGGGCCATGAGTTGGCTCCAGCTTTTCTACCGGGGTCTCACCTGGTCAACGCATGTTGGGGATGCAGGCTTTAGGGCCTTTAGGGTTGAGGGAACTTGAGGGTTGAGAGCTATAGAACCCAGGATGCAACCCAATGTGAGGCCCCACAACCGGCTTGGTATAAGATCAACCTAAGGGTGAGACGACAGGGGCTGCGCGCACAGGCCTTTAAGGATACTCGAGGGAACCTTGACCTGTGTAGACTGTGCCTTGCTCAGCCCTGAACCCTGTGCGATGGCGAATGTCATCCGGCTTTCATAAGCCGACAAAGATGACTTAGTTCTGACTACCCTGGCCCCCTCTTAAACCAGGGCCATCCCAAACGGTCCCATCCGACGAGAACCAGGACACCTTCACCCATGGTCTTTCGGAGTAATTCGAAGTAACTGCTTTTTCCTAAACCCTAAACCCTAAACCCTAAACCCACTTCCACTCGAGCTCACTTCGTAGCAACAGCACTCCCCCCCAACGAGGCATGGTGTCTCGGCGCAGAACACTGTGCAACGCCCAGCTTTTCGGAATTGTAGCTCCCAACCCTAAACCTAAACCCTAAACCCCAAACCCCAAACCCAGAACAGATGGGGACCCTAGATGCGTGGACTTGATGGCCCATGACCCTGTTGCAAATTGAAGATGCCGGGTATTACGGAGGCTGTTGTGTATCCATCCCAACTCGTGGGCATGTAGTCGTCTCCTGCACAGCCCCCAGTGTCAATTCTTGGTTTCTGCACCACTGTGCTGCAGGAATCACTGGCCCTACAGACCCAAAGTCTGTCTGGCTCTCTTGATTCCTGCACGGCCCGACTCGGCATGACCTCTATAACCCCCTCCCTGCTTTGAGCGGCGGGGGCGCCAATCGCTCTGCACCTCCTACGCAAGCCGCAAGAGCAAGCAAGAGCTCTGACTGCCGTCATGGAAACCAGGGTTTGACTCGGCACCATCCCAAACGCAACCCTATAACTAGGGTTTAGGGTTTAGGGTTTCGGCTCGAGTCTTGGGATTGGGATCATTTAGGTTTCAAGTTGTTTGGGGGTTTGGAGTATGGTCGCCGCATCTGGGCATCCAACCTTTTTGGGGTCTATCTTCGGTGGCCCCTCATATCTTTCCTAAAACGCTAAACCCTACACCCTAAACCCTAAACCCTAAACCCTAAACCCTAAACCTAAAAAAGGTGAGCGTGGCTTCCAACAGCCGAATGCAGGCTCGCGTGTGAAACGACACGAAAACGGCCCTGGGTGACTCGACACCCCTGAGGCCAGGGAAGTCCCAGGCCCTTGAGTCGAACCGCAACTCGGTGTCATGTTTACAAACCTGTAATCTGAAATGCATAAATATGTTATATAATATAAGCATAATATATATATATATAGTATAACTCTATGATCTAAAAAGAGTAGTATGTTAATGTTTATGAATGTGTCTATGTAATGTCTACTGTACTCTGCGATGAAATATTTCTCACAAACCAATGTTACGTAAGTTTCTAGCTGTTGTAATCTGAGATGTAATAGTGTTAAATGCATATATTCGTATGTGAAGAGAAATAAACACTAAAAATACGTGAACATGCTTATGAATTGATATATGCACATTATCTAAACAAATTAAATAAATAAATACATATATACATATATACACATTTATTTTTTGTTTCTT